GTTTAAAAGAGCACGAATTATTCCTTGTCTTCGAAACGTGGTGCATAGCTCCGGCGGCATAGTGCAACTTACTGGTTTGATATAATATACCTTGCTCGACCAAGTTTCTAAAAGAATGTGACGAGTTGACTCATAGCTGTACTGTTTTATTAGACCCTGTGTATTCCGGAACGAGACATAAACAATACTACAGAGTCTCAACGAACGTAGCTTACAACCGCTTCCTTCGCTGTATCGTATAGATACACGCACACGATATCTGTGTTGCCTGAATGTAACATTTAGAACTTTAACTATATTTATTGAAATTTTTCATTTTTTTCAAAATGTCATCGACAGTAGTTATCCTCAGTCCTAAATTTGATAAGCTGTTGCGGTTACAAACACTCATTGTTGCCGCTAGGTTGTTGTCCTATGAATAGGATGAAGTCTCAGATGTTTCTGTTGTTGTTGTTTGTTTGGGCGCGTTTCAACTTTAGCACAAATTGCAGACGAATCCTCTCAACATGATCTATTATATAAGGTGGGAAACCACTTTCGAAATTCGAGCACAACTTCCCAAAGGCGGGAAGAGCCATTGTAAATAATTAACTGCCCGTGTCAACTCCTATCTGTATTGGCCGACCTCTGATATGCAAAATCGTTTGTAGCCGTTGATACTTGTTTAAAAATCCATTTCAATGTTGTTGATGCTGACTGACTTTTCAGGCTTATCTAGATACTTATTATTACATTAAGGAGACAAGTGTATGTTACTGCATTATTTAAGTCTATATAGCACCGAATGCTTCTTTAAATAAATTTTGTTTTGGACCAGGTGGGCATCTATTCGAAGCTGGGCAAACATTAAATTTCGAGTTACCCACACGACCCACTTAATATCATTGCCTGTGTTTAACATATCTACGACAAATATGTTCTTCCATTTACTTTAGTGCTGTTGTTTGGCTTTCCTTATTGTAACAGTGATATAGTTTGCTGTAAGAGCTTTTCTCAAGAAAGCGTTCCTTCAAAACGTTTATAAGTTATGTATTCGTGCAGCTCCTACAAACTCACTTTTGTTTCCGTCAGTAAAGCGACAATCAGGACGAACGGGCCGTTCGTCGTTTTGGCCTAGTCTAAAAGAATGCGCTGTGCTTATAACAAGCTCGACCAATTGGGCCGCGCTCTGGTTTCACCGAAGCATAATTAAAAGTCTAAAAGAAAACGCTTACCGATATACCATCTGGTCATATGTGTCCTATTAGACACACCTCATGTACTAAGGCGTGCCATGGCTCAAATAGTTGCGACATTGATGAAATTTTATTTTTATAATTCGATACTATTAAGGTCAGCTGGCGTAGAAGGCGTTATACATTGTATATCTGCGCACTTTAACAATTCGTTTACTGCAGCTGTAACCCGTAGACTCAGAAAGTTCTTCGTTCATAAAAGATTGGGAAGACAAAATTTTTTAGGACTCAGTGCCTGACTTTGAGCACAGGTCACGCATAAAAGGTGCCGTTCGAAAGAGACAAAGGACCGAGGGAGAAAAAAGATGAATATTTAAGCTGCTGATCCCCTGCTATATTATTTCCAATGTGTGTACCGAGAAGATATTAAGTTAACACATTACTGGTTAGGTCTGAGCCTGTCTTTCGAACTGTAATAATGCTGACGAAGAAACTTTTAGTAAAACATTTTATATTCCTTAAATACAAATTTTGAATTTCAAGAATAATTAATATACTGCTTCGGATAGTTATTTTTGAATGAGTAAAATAGCTTGAGATCGTAAGAATTACCGTCATAACAACCCGTAGTACTTATTGGCAGCAGAAGAGTATATTCCTCAAATCCAAGATAGTATGTCAACGCGCTGATTAGATGAGCTGCAATTTTCAGTCACGACGATAATAACTGTGGATTCCTGTCTTTGTAAACTATACTAATCAATCATCCATCGATTGCTGCCAACTATAAAATTAAATGCCACGTAATTTCCGTGCACATACGTATGAGATCAATGAGCATTAAGCAAGGTCTGCAGGGAGGCTAGGACGTACCTCTCTGAGCTCTCCAGGCCATGTGAGCAACAGCAGAATAAACACAGTTGTCGTCGTCCTGTTTGGTTTTCAGCTTAAATACGGCCGTAAGCTTTAGGTAAGAGGTCGTTGCTCGGTGGGCACCTACAGGTGCACACACATGTTGTTGGGCTCAACTTGGGCTCAACACAATGGGCTCAACTTTAGCGATGTGAAATTACCTAGTGAGCACTAAGCTATTTGCTAGTCCGCTCCTTCGAGAGGAGAATGGCTGTCGGTGGCGATGACGTTGGTCCTACCCAAAGGCTCGCACTTGTCCCTTGGTACTCCACCAAATCTCTATCTAGAACAAATATCTTCTATATCACCTTCCGTATGTATTAACTGCTGTGTTTTCTTTGTTAAAATTATATATCGGTATGAATAATCGATTTTTCTTTATGCTTAAATACTATGGAAAATCGAAATATATCCACTTGCCGTCAAGCAAAGAGTGATACGATAATGCCCTGAGCGAAGACAAGAAGAAGAAGAAGAAGAAGAATCGTTTTTTGGCAACTATTCAATAGGCCTATAATATAGAAATCGCAAAGTAAATATAGATTATATCTTAATATTTCATAAATTCTCAACCGTTACTGAGAAAGCTACCCGAAAAAGGTACGTTCCACAATTTGCATTGGTACGTATACATAGCTTGAGACACGGAAGATCGATTTCTCAGATTCGTCGTTCCCGTCTTACTGATACCTCTTCAAGGAGTTTCGATCTCTGCCCCTCCCGTTGCCGTAACCCTCAAGGCTTCGTCAAACACCTAATACAACGCAATCCATTTGTTTTTTCTTGTAGTTTTACTTCTAGTATTTCCTGCGGGACGAATGAAGGCTAAGCTGGTTATTACATTATAATTATATTAAGTTTGCCAGCTGTTATTATCAACTGTCTATTGTCAGTTAACGCTAAATATTATATATGATAGGGTGTTGCTGCAATAATCATGGTTCGTAAGGTCATTCCTTGGATGATGGTTATTAAAGGAACAATCGATTATATTGACAGGCCTATTAGCTTCGCGGACTTGTGTGTCTTTTTTGTGTCTAGTAATAAATAGAAGCAAAGTATAGGAATGAACAGTTAGTAGAGCTTTACAAGTACATTCCACAATGGGTTGCATAAGAGCAACGCCAGACCAAAAATTTTGCCCAATATGGTTGCGGACGCGTTCTCAAAAAATTGATTATATAGAAACTTTATTTTGTCGCAGACAGAAAATGACGTCGCTGGAAAAATCTCGAAGCAGCAACTTGTGGTCTCTTTTGTTCTTTATTTTATATTGTTGTCGAGTAAGCGGCCTGTAACAACAGGTGTGAAGTAGGACTTTTATAAGCTGCCTAGTGATAGACAAAGTATAATCGACAGACTTTTACTGGATATCTTTAATCATCGACATAACGTACTTCCACATGAGTACGTTGAGTGTACGTCATACAATCCTTGATTGATCATTAAGTTGTATCTGCATGTTTAAAGGACACTGAATTAGCGTGTTATAATTCTGTGCTTTGACATGTGGGCGTCGATGCAAGGAAACATCAAACGGTAATTGTGGAATTAATTTGTACAAACGTATGAGTTGCGATGGCATCCCATCACATAAAATTTCGCAATAGTAGCAATAAATAGCACACAACATCGCTGGTCATTTGTGCTAGTAATTTGTGTGGCAAGCTGAAAAATCTTCATCGTACATACGCTTGATCTATTCGAGCGTCGTCCTACTATAATAAAGTAAAAGTGCTCCAACGGGTATTTTACCCGTTCGAGCACTTTTACTTTACACCCAGATAGATGTAATTGCAATTTTAATAAAAATACTATTATTATATACGTTCTGTTCATGCATTTTAAAAGGTTTAATTTTATTTTGATTGTACAAAAAATCGATCTGTTCAAGCTACGCGCCTTGATCATAATACAGGGTACACTTCATCACCTATCGATAGTTAGCGCCTAACAGTCTCATAGTTACATTAAGTTAAAGTTAACATTTTTCTTTTCGAAATACTTGTTATATTTGCCACGTTATATTAAACTCTACAGAATTTCCTTGAAGGGTCCTTCAAGGCTGAACTGTAGCACTGCCTTAATTCCTTCCTTAGTTTGTGTTCTTCGAACAACATTTTCGAAACTTGGAATTTAATAGGGCTCTTGGATTTTGACGGTATTATAAAACCTGTTGTCTCGTTAATACATTAGATTCAAAGAGATTTTTGAAACCCTTCGATAGAGCCCAAACAGGTAAGCATTAGGTCCAATACTTAGTCACAAACACGTAAATTAAGCCTTGATACAATTCATTGCGGTACCGTTCCATTTTCAGGAGGTAGAGGTCGAAGTGACGAACCGCTCGCCATAGATTACTCACCAAATAGCGAATGCAACAATGCTACATCGGGCATCGTGGTAGCGCTACGCAAAGGTACACGCTTCACTCAATATGGCTACAATTTCAGACGAGATGTTCTGCAAGAGTGTTTCCTAAAAATTACTCTTATAGCAGAGAAAATGATCTTTCTACGCTAACGTGATATGACGCCGAGTTCCACGCGAGCAGAATTATTTACTGCCTCATTGCCGTTATAAGTCGACGCAATGAGATCTGCGCTGCCAGAAAAACGCAGATAATGGCCTTTTAGCATTGGTGTCTTTTTGTATTTGAGACTTGTAGTATTATAAACGTCAATTATCAGAATTTGGATACAACTGGACGACGCGACATCTCATACGTCGGTTGCAGGCAGGGAATTTTACAAAGGCTCAGAAGAGGTATCATCCACGTCCACCATTCAGTCGTCTTGCTCGACGTTTCAGTAGATTGTATTAACAAGAACTTATTGAATAGCATTATTGTACCTGTAATGCTATTCAGTAAGTTTCAGTTCAGTGAGAAAATGTAATATTTATAAAGACTATTTACCGCATTTAACAGACGGATTTAGAAAACGTAAAAATACGCTAGCACTGATGGAGCGCGTGTTGAGGGGAGCCGACTACGAGGGTAAGCGGTGGCCCTGACACGGGGTGAGGGTCCAATCTCGTGAAGGTCTTTACCTTGGGTTCAATGCTCGACTGGCGTTCAACCGTGACCCCTCAGCCAGGCGGGCGGGCGGAAAAATTCATTAATCCGTTCATTCAATGACACCTTGATGAAAAGCCAAAGGAGAATACCTCCTATTTATTACATTCTCAGATAGGCATTAATCAGCAATTAATAATTAGTCTCAAATTATCACAGCATTTTTACAAACAGCTAGAATTAATGTACTGGAGTACAAACAATGTATTTATTCACACACAATGTTAATCACTGCGCTACTGACCGTTTTAGCGAAACCGCAACAGAGAAGTTTATTTACCTTTTTTGTAGCGACAACAAATGTCGTTCAGCTCTGAGAGAATTGTTATTTCGTATAATAGAACATCTGCCCGATGTCATATTGTTTTCTGTATAAATCTCTATCTGCGTCATTGAGGACAAACTATACATCAACGCGAGACAGTGAAAACAAAGTCATGCAGAGCGCCCTAAGGAAGCATCTTGAAGTACGCGCCGGCCTTGCTACAATACACAATAGAAATGGTTTATGAATTAATGAATCGCCCTTACGTGACTGCATCTTGCCTCCTCTTAAGAGAAATAGGAAAGCTTCTAGAAAAGGGAAAACGTTAGTGGCCTCATTGTTTCAAGGTTCGCTCCTCGCTAGAATGGCCAGTGATACAGGCACGACCCTCCGGTGCACGCATTGTACACGATGATAGAGCATTGGGCTATTGAGCAATAGCGTGTATTGTTTATTATAAGTATTTTAGCCCTCTAAACTAAAAAAAATGTATTTATTTATGTAAAGATTTGAACAAGATGCTGTATAGCGAGTTAACGATGTACTACTGAAGTGTCTGCACCAGATGGCATCTTTGCGCAACTCTCGTTTCCTATTTGCCTATATTATCGAATACGGAATAAACAAGTATCAAAAATATGTATATTTTACGTGAAGGCTCCTCATGTAAGCAACTATAGTTGTCTAGCTACATACTGACATTTGCCTTCTAAGCGCTGCTTCGACCTATCACCCGTTATCTATTTCACTGATGTTTCCTTGACGTGTGAAAAGCCCACATCTAGATGTACTCTCTCTAAAAAGTAAAAAAAAAAAAAAAAGCGCGAAAACGATCTTGCAGGCTTACGTTATGTAGACACGTTATGTAATGTTTAATCCATGCTAGTTCCGTGTAACCCTCAATAAAGTCAAGTAGCCTCATATTACTATTATATGCAATTTAACGATCATAGTTTATTTGGTGGACACTTTTTCTTTATTAAAATTAGGCAGCTTGTCCTGGCCATGACCATCGTTACAAGCAGCCAAAGTTTAACTCCGCCTTTCCTTCGATGCAAATACCTCATTATACTATACATTATATTTATATAACAAGCCGAGTAATGAGCACTCAGTTACAGGTTCTCTGCCGATAAACAAAATGCCTGTTATGCTAGATATGTACAGGATTCTTGATTGATAGAGCTTTTGGTTGAACAAAGAGTAACTTAGAGCAACGCTACATCCATGGGCGCGTATAAACAGGCGATTGTGCAGTACAAGGCCGATTGACAGCAGAGTATTTAAAATCACAAACTAACGTAGATAATTTAACGTTTGAGATAAATAATAACAGACATAATGTTTGCCAGAAATCTATAAACTTCTATCAGCGTCGTAAAAAGCTAGCATTTTGTTACCTGTATAGCATTTAGTTAACGTAACGTAACCCTATTTACATTTGAACGCGCTTCTATTTCTGTCCTAAATTTATTCAGGCTATACTACTAGCTGTCACTTGAATCCGTCAGGCCGAGTTGATCGTACTGGTAATTGTTACCGGCGCTTTTAGACCAAACTGGGAAGGGCTCGTAACAAAAGTGAGTCATATCAATAGCAAATGGATATAGATCTACTGTTGGCAGCAGTAACTGTACACATATATAGTTTATCCAACAGACCAGCGTACATTCATACTCAAGTATTGAGTACGAAATATTTGTAAATAAAATTTTTCACTGCTCATACTTTACCCTAAATAACGACAATACGTTCTAAGACAACGATATAGTGCCACAGTTATAATCTACCATTGCTCAGTTCAGAAATGCCCAAATTATATAGTTCTAACACGACTTCGTGAAATGTTTCAAATTTGTGTCACCTATAACATGTCATGGTCTACTCCACTTGAGTTTCTAAAGCATTGTAACTAACCTTCGAATGCATCGTACCGATAGCTATTGCAGTGACACCTCCACGGGCGCAACAGCTCTTTCTAGCGTCAATGTAGGATACGTGGTTCACAAGGCACGCACAAAAATTACATCGAACAAGCTTTGAAAAAAATGTTTGCAAACTACCCGTTGGATTTGTGGAACTGAAATTTGTCGTATATTATTCAGTATTTTGCTATGTTTCGTTGCTCATCAACTATCTACTTCCATATTTTGAGAACACCCTCTGTGGAAGTTGAAACGAGGAAGTTGCGGGTGGTCCTTAAAATGGCCAGTTCGCTCACACAGTCTTTGTGGCCGGCCGCCGCGCGGCTACCCATCAGATATTCGGATTTTTCCGATACATTTTTACGAAGTTGCTCTTGAATCACCTGCGAGCCAAAGCAGATCACGATAGCAAAACCCGTATTGCACAATCCAGTATTATACATATATATATACATATACACCATACATAATTGTAAACAACTGATTCAAGCAAGCTGGCAGAACGTTTATGATAGCCGTGTGAATTTCCTCAGCCCTGTTAGCTAACGGTCCGTTCTCGGCGCTGGCTTGCGTTTCGACAGCCCTAGCAAACAGAAAGAACTGTGTCTCATCTAACACAATACGTAATTAAAGGCAAGCAAAGAGCTATGACAACAGGAAAGTAGAGGTATCGGATACGAACCAGATACGAACACGATTAGTGTTTACCTGTGTACCATCGCAAAAGATTGAGAAATAGCTTGCCGTGATACGATCCCCATCCATTGCAGAGCCTGTCACGAGGTACGAGTTCCGATAGCCCTTTTCGTTATCAGATACATCCCAACACCTGTAGGAAATAGAAAGGTGCAGAAACTGTAGCCGATCATACACCATAGTCGTGCATTTGAACACTAGCTATTGTAACTCTAGACCTTTTCTCGAATGAATTTACTTAAATTTACATTTAATGACAACCTAAAAAAGAAGTTAGAATTCTGTGACGGTGGCACCACTCCCGAAAACGTCCTACTTATCTTTAAATATACAGAACAGTTTACTAGCATTGGATAGTTTAGCTTTTCGAATAACACGTTTTATTCCTGCGTCTTTCGAATTATACAGTTAAATCTCAGTGCATTTGTTTTTTTTTACACATGCTGTTTTTATACGTACGATGCCATTCTAAAATGCTCACTGAAAGGTCTTACTTTTCGTTTTTTCAGCTAAATAAAAATTTACTTGCCAGTGTTACAAAGTCATATGTAAAACCATGTTTCTCATACCAGCAAAAAATTTTGATCTTTTTCAAGCAAAGCCTGGGCGGGTCATGCCAAAATTAGAATACTAAGATATCAATAAATTCACATGAATATCGAAGGCTTTCACAAAAAATAAAAATTTGGAGAAGCTCGAATGTTTATTTTTATGGTGCGGTTGATATTTATTCCGCTCACCTTATCCGCATATCTGTTCCTCCTGTGAAAATGTGCTGGTCAGCTTGGCATATTCCGTAAGCAACACTCTTCGTGAATTCCCGATCCGTAAATGGCGAACACTTCGACGCCCACAAAGTCTTCGATCGTTGCTGGTTTTCTAGGTTCCACAGAGAGACTTCATGATTGCTGAAGTGGGCAGCCCATACGCTTCCATTGTTACAATGCTTTGGGATGAGTAACTTGTAAGTACGAAATTTGTACGGGTGCTGAATCTATAATCAGCACGGGAAATAAATGTATCTTTTTAGAAGCTGTGAACCCACCTAATCTCTTCAAATAAAAATACATGAAACAAATCGGGAGTTGTTTAAGGGTAATGAGCATTGATACGGTAATATTGTTAATAAAGAAAATACTGTGTTTATTTATTAGATCAACAAAGATGGTAAGAAATAATATAAATCATCTAAGTTTTGTTCCTAATTCCATGGATATAAGATTAAGACAATATGTCCGTAACCTTATAACCGTAATTGCAGAACAACTCACCTTGGCTATGGGAAGATGAAAGCGAAGGTCCCAGCACGTAATGAATCCTTCATTAGTCGCTGTTACAAGCCAGTGTCTGCTTGAATCAATAGCCATGCACATATTTAGCCCACACTTTGCGTCGTTTCGTAGGCGCCATGTCGTGCCAGGTGTTCGCAAATCCCAACCACAGATTCCGCCGTACAAAGAAGCATAAGCCATAACAGATCCACCGGCCGGTTTCACATCGACAGCCCAGCCTTCGTTCAGCGGATCTAAGCAGCGACCTGAAATAAACTGTGGGCCAGCATTTGAACCTGGCTCTAGCTTGAATACCTGTAACAAACAAAATTCAGGTTATTGTGAGACCCAGTTATAAAGTGGCGTTTGGTACGATCACGTAGAAAATACAAACGCTACTGATACATTCAACTGTGAACGAGGATAGATACCTATTTCGCTGTCACTGTATCAAGCGTATTTACCTCCATATTTCCAGAGTTACTGGCAACTAACACGCACTGCTCGCTGACGCAGTAGTCCATTGATACCAGCTGGCCCGTTAAACGATCGTACGTGTAAATAGACTTGTTGGTCATCACGCGCTTTTCCATACGTGTCCAGTCCCATAGTCTTACGGTGCCGTCAGAGGAACATGTAGCGAACACCGCGTCCGGCAGAACACAAACCTAACCAGGAACGATCAATTCAATAGTGCTAACTGGATAGATGCTGTTACTAGCTTGCGTTCTACACACCCGAAGCCAAACTCCTGCGCATAGCTTAATGCGTTAACTCAATATAGTATACGCAGCGAGGCTTGCGTGCTGCTCATCGTGGAGATTTATTCAAACCCGTAATATTTTAATGATATTCATTCAAAAGTATACTTGGACAATGAAAACCAATTACCTTGTTAATAGCGCCTTGATGCTCGTGCATGTGCGCCATCAAGGTCCCTTTTGGCTTCCAGGCTTGGGAAAAATGTAAGTCGTTCGCTTCAACGTCTACAGCTCGTAATTCGTTAACACATTGTTTTTTCTTGTTAAGCAGATTTTCTAATTGGCAATATTGTAGCAAAGCCTCACAAAGGACGTCCTCGGATCTATGGGTCTCCTATAGAAACAAGTATAAAGAAGACTACATTTGGTTATGCTCGATACACAGTTTTGAATACTATTACGTATAACAATATGCAACGACAGAGTTTATCTCCTAGTTCTGTAACTTTATCAAATGATGTTAAATATGATAAACGCACCAACAAACACTTCACTCCAGGTTTCAACAAGTTAAAACAACATAACAGGAACACTAATCCGTGCGAATCATTTTTGAGCAACATTTTCATATTATTCTACAGCGAAACGTCTGCTGACAACAGAATTCTACCTGTGATCAAGAAAAAAAAGCTAAAAAGTGTACACAAATCTGGTATCAATTGCAATTAAGGCTTGTCATAGTTTTGGCAATTCGAATTCAGATTCACCAATTTTAAAGACGATAGACTATAGAATGAGAACTCTATCGCTACTTACGATTGCCTAACAATAGTAAACATACAGTTCCGTTTCGTTAACTGTGTGTGGACAAAAAATGTGCGCGAAAAACCTACTAGACAATTAATACACGAACTAAACTATGTCACGCCGGATTTCTGCAGGTAGAATTTCGCCTGATCTACTGAAATCACGTGACCAAAGATCCCTCATACTGGTAGCAATACGAACCTTAATATTAATCTCCTTAGATTTTCCTTTCCAATTTTTTTCTTCGAGATTTATTTTGGCCAAATCTCCGGATGCTTCCGATTTTCCATAAACGCTGGCCCGTTGAATCCCGGGCACGTCCCTCTTAGCTAGGCATCCGATGATCACCTAGAAATGTATATATCTATTAGCCACTAGATAAATTTGTGTGTAATTTACCTTTACAATCGTAACTTTATCGTATATCTTTAATATAATAATTCTATATATATAATAATATATATCTATATATATATATATAATATAATAATCACCTAGAAATGTATATATCTATTAGCCACTAGATAAATTTGTGTGTAATTTACCTTTACAATCGTAACTTTATCGTATATCTTTAATATAATAATTTCCAGAGTTTATGAAAGTCGAAGAACGTATATGGTGACAACGACGACATCACCACCGTAATAGTATTTAACAGTAATGCTTTAGGGATAGTTTCGAAGTAACGAATATCGCTCGTTCGAACCTTGTATGGCTGTGGGTAAGCTGTAGTTCTTGTTGCCTAATCAATGTACCAGTTTCTACTGATGAGCTTATTCGTGTTCTTAAGGTTATTACACGATCTGCGCTGTTTTCTGCGCACAGTTTTAATAAATCATTCTGCAAAATTGCACAAGTGTAGCACTCTCTCTCTCACCTCTGCTTTCTCGATCTGAACTGCAGGACACTCCAGGAAGGGCTTGAGAAAGGGTCTTAATCGACATTCCTTAATAGCCAGCGGTACGTTGCGGGCCACGCAAGCAAGAAAATGCGCTGTTTCGACGCGGATCCAGGTATTTCGGTGCTTAAGAAGATGCAGCGCTTGTGAGAAAAGTGTGCACAGGGTGCCTCGACGAAAGAAGTGTATCTCCGTCAGAGCTGTTACACACTTAAGTGTGCTACAAACTACTGCATCATGAGAATCGTTGAATCCTATTCATAAATAGAGGTAATGAAAGCGTATGCATTTGTAGTTCCTGAACACTGTTAGTAATTGAGCATCGTTAGCCATAGTTCCATTAAAAATTTCAAGGATGACGTTGGTCAGTCTTTCTATGACATGTTTTTCATTCAATGATTGGTTTCAACTAGTTCTCAGCATGTGTGCTAAACTATACCACGGATAAGACAAAAAAAAAATGCGGCTCGCAGACGTTATCGAAACTATACGAGTTACCAAAAAGGTGTGCTTCGATAAATTAAAGCGACGAACCCAAAATCAGTGGTTGACGCCAAAAGAGCGAGACGATAGTTATCAAAGCAAGCCACATGTGCAGCACTATTTTTCGGTTCCTTATAGGATAATATGAGGATAATAATAATAGGATAATATTTTATCTTAATTCAGTTACATTTTTAACACGGTTTTGATCAATACATCTATACTCCTAACACACGTGTCGATTCGCTGCTACCCAAGGATTGATTTCTCCCCACAATGTTAGTGGATATACTAAAAATTTTACTTGTAAAATAACCATATTGACATATTATATAATAAGTAAGATCTCGTTTAATTCGTAAGTTTAACATCTTGCAATGATTTCAACACGATCGGAAACAATACGTTTCAAAAAACGATAGATGCACGCGCCCGTGATAACGAAAACATCAATACAACTAAACAGCAGTTACGCCCGCACCATCGTTCAAGGTTCGGCTGGTTGCTATCGATATCGAGTGGGCATAACGGCCTAGTGCGGACTATTGGCTAAGTTCCTTCGTATCCCATATACCTAAGTAGATAAGATACTCTGTGGAGCCATATCGAATGAGTATTAAACAGCTTGAAAGTGTATAATTTAAAAGGTGCTACGTTTTGGAAATCATCTTTGACTTTCACATGCGCCGTTGCCCACCTTGTTCGATGAGGGGCATCAAGATGGACGTTACGGTTGTACCCACGAAAACGGCTACGCCGGCGACGCTGGTATAGAATGAAGCGCGCAATTCATGATCCGCAGAGTCGTTGAGGAAAGTAATCATATGCGAAAGTAGTACATCATGAGCACTTTCTTCACCGAAGAAAACGCACAGCTTCGTTGCGCCTAGCATTCATCCAAAAAAACCCTATGTTTATTCATATATAAAAATAATACTGAAACGTGAGTCCATTTCACTAGACTGGCTTTGATCAGTGAGGCTTTGCTGTTTAGATTTAGTTGAATTATTGGAAAAGTACTGCGTATGCATTAATAGAATTGGATCAGGTGACGCTCAGGTGATCAGAATAGAGCTTGCAGTATTACTTTGGCAAAATGATTATCGATAATATTCGGTGTAAGCTTCTGGTCGAGGGCGCTTCGAAGCGTCATCTTTTCGACTTCGAGATCTGTGCAATAAATGCAAGGTAAATATACGGTATGCAACGTGTATTCATTCACTGCAGCGACATTTTCCAACGCTCAAGTCGTCTCGATAGACGAATAGATTATCCTTGTCGTTTCCTACACTTGTGTTTGTACCACACCGATACCTGTGTCAGCGTGAACTCACACGCTTTTTAGGACAAATATCTAGTTTATTTACGAAAAACAACAACAATGTTTGTTGAGGCAGACATATATTGTACGTATTTCATCACACATTTATTTCGTAGTTACCTTTCGTAGCTACTACAAATTCAACATAGAGAAGGTCTATTGTGAACTTTGAACGGGGGTTAACCTTTCATTCTTAGTTTTTACCGGCTCCTTTTTTTTGAAATGGAATGGATTTATCTGCTAACATTTTTTTCGACTCAACAATTCCATCACGCCGAAGCTCAATACATCAAACCGGAACAATTCATCATTCCGAATCACTTTCCTGGTTTCAAGCTGTTCCATTTTACGATATCCTTGTGATTTCCCTAACAATTTCTGGTCGAAGCGTGAGGTGTGTGAGACGAAGTCGATTATAAAAGGTATTTAGTTATTTAAGCGCAGAATGTGGTTCGATGCACTGGCAATAAAGGATACTGGCTGCCCTTTCGTCATTGAACAGGCATAATCATTATTGAGCGATAATCATTATTTTAATGATTAATTTGAAAGTTATTACGTGGTCGCTTGACAATGTTACATAAGCTAGAAGCATTTTGCAATAAAGAAAAAAAACCAGCTACACCGATCACATTTCGGACTCACGCATTCTTGTCCGTTTAGCTACGCCCAGAAAAACCTAGTTCATTTATTATTTCAATAATATCGACAATCAATCGATTATTAATGTGATTTCAAGAGGTTAAGTAACTGCACGCTTCACAAACTATTTCCATAGAAATGTGTTTATAACTGTCAGAAAAAAACTTTGTAAGGCGTATCTGGGATATGCGTTCGGTGGGTTATGTTCGTCAACGGCTCTTAAAATACCATAGTTCTGTGGGAAAATTTTAACATGTTATAAATGCTACTATGTTGCATCTTAGATGTTATCAGACATACAATGTTAATCCCAGGGCTACAACAGGAATAATTTTGCTGTTCATTATAAACGTTCTGAAGGTTAGTTATTCTAGATTTCAAGGTCCAGTAGTTTTAGGATCTCAATTCTTATAATCCGATCCTTTGCTACAAGGCAAGATATTCAACACTACCATCCATAGGGCAAATTGAATTTTATACCAATTGAGGTAAACCATTTTAGACACATGTTGAAATTATTTAAACTTTTGTGAAGTGGGCGTATCTGAAAATGGGAACGCAATACCTGAGAAGAAAAATAATACATAGAAAGTAAAAGTCGCTAGTAACTATTATCTACTATAACACCGCCGTAATCAGGCTTGAACGCTTGGCTAACCTAAAACGCTCGATTTCATCGAATCTACCTTCGGCATTCCTAGCATTCGTTAACTACATACTTGGGAATTACGATAAACGGTCAACGTCCAGTTTCACTTCTATACGTTTGATATACGTGTAAAAAGTCGTGTAAGTTAGCCCCCTATCCCCGTGGGAAATGAGTTTATCGTTTCCAGAGAGTATACATAACAAGGCGTCTTGTTAAATAATTTTGGTAATAAATAATTTTTAAATAATAGTTTTTTTTTATATAAGTTTTAAATAATAATGTCAATTGCAGTCGCCTCATTCTGGAATTATTAAATAAAGTTAGTTTACATTCGTTGTGAACAGATTACGGTACCTTTTTCCAGCAACATTCTCTTCACTTGATTGCAGTGATCTGAAATCAAAGTGGCGACGATGTTTTGTACAGCATCATGAAGTAAGCCCAGTTCACGTTCATATGAGGAGCGATACAGGTGCTGACTCGATACATCCTCCTTAGAGCCAACATCTGCGCAGTTCAAATGACTTGTCTCCAAAAAGCTACCCCACAAATATAAACACAGAACAAGATCATAGGTAAATACCACGTCATCTTCAGACTAGGTTAAGAGCTACCTGTAAATTCGATTATCAATAGGCTTTAATCACGAAACAGAGGCAAAGCCGGCAAAAAATAGGCCGCGTCAATGAGTTACGCACTTACTCTTTCGCTACATGATAGCAGTTAATTTAAATGACTATTTATGCTGTAGATCAGCTAGACTTTTTACTGTTTATACATATCGCACATCGCTAAACCTCATCTCAATTTTTTGTACAGAAAAACGCGAGTGACATCCCTTAGTTCCTAGAAAAAAACCAAAACAAAAAAAAATGTCATTCGATATTATACCTGAGAGCCGTCTCAGCGAGTCTACCAAGGTTGGCGGCTAAAGCAAGACGGACAATATCGTTAGTATGCACGGAAGCCTTTTGTAGCTCCGGCATGATGTACTCGACGAAGACGAATGAATCTCCCATGGGTACACTTTGAATGTAAGAGAGGCAATCAGTAAGCACATGGATCGCTTCAGATACTACTTGAGCCGATGGATCCTGCAGCATATGAAGTACAAAGGGTGACAATCTGAAATGCACCGGAATATCCTCACTTGAATATATCAGGTACTATATGCTGATAAATTATAGGTTGACTGCAAGTATTTAAACGTATATCAATATAATTAAATGAAAATTGAGCTTTTAGCTTTCTTGTTTTCTTCGGATGTGTTCCCTCCCTTAGATCAAGCGTATTTGTACTATACAGGGGCCAAATGACAAGCACTTGCTCGTGGCATCACGAATTCAACGACTGACTTAAATGTCTCAGAATATACAAAATAACACCAGAGCGAAAAAATAAAACATGTTTCATCAAGGAGGCACTGAAACGACTCGACGCTTACGGTAGGTGTCTGTCCACCGAATATGTAAAAAACGAAAAAAGCAACCTCAAGTTGCGTCTGCTTACCTTTCTAGTATCACGAATGGTGCTAGCCTGCTTGCGCAGACTTTAATTAATTTCAGCCCAACCATTTTAGCGGACGAATGCTTAAGGGAACGTAGCATAGCAGTGATGAAGTTGACAAGCGCCAAAACCCCTTCTTCGCTATCGGCTATTTTTTCCAGGAATACCTCGTGATCTTTGAATAGGCGGAAAATTTGCGAGTCAGGATGTGACGTATCGAGTGCATAAAGTTTGAGGTAATCAAGGAGACCGGTGAAAAAGCACGACGGAAATATTTGATTTTTCCGGCACATGTCGAGGTATTTATCAGCAGTAAAGCGTTTTTGTGGCTCACGCTGAATCATATGAGCCGCCAACTCGCGAATGCCTGAAAAGAACAAAAACGAGCTAAATAGTTTTGATTAGTTTTTTATTACGTTTATTAATGCTAAGCTGATTTAGTAATATTCCACTGACTAAATGCTTGTCATGAACCTTTAACTGCAGTTTGAGGATTCTCATCCCTGCTTTGCGTACTCGCTGCTGACGATGAAAAAAACATTTATCCAGTACTAAATTTTACCAGTGCATCAACACATCGAACTTGTCGGTTCATTTCAAGTTATGCCCAAAAAAATCGCTACCGAATTTATTTACCTTATCTATTTTTCAACAGAACACGTCTTACTAGCAGTAGAGCCATAATTATCTATTATTAAATGTAAGAACAATACGTGGTTGTGGCCAGATTCCTTTTGAATGCTCGTAAAATACATAGACAATCGCTTAAAAGTATAAATACAGTTTGAAGCAGCATAGTATCCCTCATAGTCCGGTAGATGTTTGTTTAAATTCATTATTCACTATAAAGCACTATGTTTCGATTCCAGTACTCTTGTAGATATAGAATTATAGCTTGCGGCTAAACTTAGGAGCTGAAGTTCAGCGAGAACGCCCTAGAACAATTAAAGATTTAGAACGCAATTTCGTTCCTGGAGAAAGTGACCTACAATTTAAATGTATTATACCATTTGAGATATTTCGCGATTAATGAAATATATAAGGCGTCATAAACACGCAGTTAATCCAAGTACACTACTAATATTTTAATCTTTTTTTTTTTCAATCGAATATGAATGCGTTATGTGGGAACAGAGATGTCTTCAACAGTGTGCTCACTTACCCTCATCCGAAATCTCCTGTAGTTGAGGCGGTCGATCTGTTTCACCTTGTTTGTATTTATACATGTCAGATAGTTTGAAAGGAAATTTGCCGTCGGTAAAGAGCTCAATGAATACACATCCAAGGGAAAAGATGTCCATGGCGGACGTCAGCTCCGCACGGGGCTCCTCTAGAATTTCCTCTTGTACCGTTCGGTGTCTGTAAAATCGTTCCGGCGCTATGCAGCAAACCTGTAAATAAAACGACACAGAGGATTGCTATATTTTCATACTTCAATACGACCAGCGGTTTACCATTTAGTGACAGAGCAAAGTCATAGGTCCTATAAAATAACCCCTGGAGGCAAAATGTTCGATGGGAAATTCGTGCGCCAACCTTTCCGCCTTTTGCATCATGTACACGCATAAGATTAGTGACATTTGCTAATGCTTAATTGCATTGAAAAATTTGCCCAGAATATTAGCTATTTATTTTCTAGCTGGTTTATTAGTAGAAGAGAAACTGTCAAGGTATTAATTTTTGTTTCTCTAGTTACCTGTCGTCTAGACGTGTCGAAGAAGTAAAAGAATTCTGTTGGGTTATCCATGGGCATCATAGTTGGCTTGAATGAAGCGAAATCGGTAAGAGCGACCCAATTCCACCCAGTGACCAAAATGTTCTCAAGCTTGATATCTCCGTGACAAACTTCAGCGCGATGACACTGCGCCAGCGCACACAACAGCTGAAAGGCAATCCACTTCTTTTCCGAAATTGTAAGAAATGGCCGAGTGGACACTCGATCATATAGTGAGTACTTCACGAACTGTCTAACCAGAATAGCCGACCTTGCAGAAAGGTAGGTTTTTGTGAATGGTAAAGCGTTTGGACAGTTTTCCAGGGCGTTTCTGATTTTCTCGATATTTTTTTGATGCGACTGAAGTGGCAAAGTGTTGTCCTGAGGCAGGGCTAGTACTTTGACAACTAACGGATATTGACAATTAGCGGCGCGAACTTTTACTGTCTTGAGAAAGCGGGTTGAGCCCAAGTTCAACTCACGCTGGTATTCTGGTAGATCCGCCAGATATTCGTCAACTGAATGAATCGTTGACGGCGCATAGCTCACGAGTGTATTGCCCATTTTGCGAGTATTTGTAGTAGTAACAAACACGCTGTTACAGGAGCACTCCGATGGACGGATACGCGTTTCGTCACCCTTTACAGCAGCACCATGCTGCCCTCTCCATTGGCTGTTGTCATATGACGGCAATACTTTAGCGAAACGATTAGGCCGTTGTTTTTACCTCCACCGTCAGTTTCGATGGCTCGCTTCCTCACACAGAATGCTTACACAGTACCACCTATGCAATTCCTCAGATGCACTGACACAAAACACTAACGTTCGATATCAGTTGAAGCGAGACATAGTAGTTTGTTTGAAACACTCACTCACAACATCAGCCAAGATGGATAACATCTAAATCCCAGCTGATTTTACTGGAATAGCAACACAACAACTTTCTGTTGAACGGCTGCTGCCAGTCGCGAAATTCAAACGAGTGGCAACCAGGCGAATGCTCGCAGCACATACCCTCTGTCTAAATTTGCTGGCCACAGCCAGACAATTTTAAGGTAGAAGTACACCGCGCAGTCACTGTTTTTGGTAGTCACACCTTTTAGGATTTCAACAGTAGATTTTGTGCGACGTCTCACTTACAACATAGCTAAAAAGAGAATGACTTTTTGATGGTCGTCGGCAGATGGCCATAAAGACGGTGCATCACATCAAGAAAGGGTACATCCCTCACTCAATTTTGGAGCACGAGGGAGTTCCCGTTGCAAGTTTAAGGTGCTACGTTAATGTTATGTTAATAAATAGATGTATGTACCTATAAGTTGATAGCTCTCCTGACATGGAATACATTTTTACAATCAAGACGAGATTTTTCCATTTGCACTGAAGTCCGTTCCGTCGACAGAAGAGTTCTTGTCTGCTTTGAATTTAAACCGCGGGCCTTAAAATGCGTTTTAATCGATGAACCTGGGGAGGGGCATCACTGTTAGTATACGAGCAAATGAAAAGTTTGATTCAATTCTCCTGGAAAACATCTTGCATAATTGAACGAAAACACGATATGTAAAAAAGAGCAATTTACTCACCTGAAACAATAACTAAATAGGTAGACAAAAACTATGTTTTGGCTCAAAAGCATTGTAGAACGGGCTGCAGGATTGATCAGAATTCAAGAAGAGGTTACATTGATTATTTTCTTTGCTGCGCTTAAATCTACTCAGATAATCTAGAGGGTACTTATGTTTGACACTGATTTTGAAAGTACATTTCAAATACTACAATACGTCAGGCTCAAGCGTAACTACTTTATTGTTCGCTCAGTATCATCGTCCGAAATCATCTCGTCGTGCTAAAACTATAGCTGGCTTTTATGGTTTCTCTAGAGCGCTGGCTTCCGAATTGGAGCTTGTATATGGCTTGGGAAAAACTTGTACATTCGAAAAACTTCGGGACTTTTGAAAGGCTAATATTGTATTATTTGCTTGCAACGATATCGCTCAGGTTTTCGTCAAAGACGAATTTGTTTTTTGTCTTTTTACTAAACGTATCGATGTTTATAATGAGCCTAAAAACAATTCTTGTGGCGATACTTAGGGCTTCCCTAACTAAAGCAAAGAAATAATGAGAAGTATTAAAAAGAACGTTATAATTGTGAAACGTCGACGAAAACATCGACCTACCTTATGTAGTTGTTGAACTATAACTATTTTAGCTACAAATTGAGTTTCGGACCAGTCTAGTTATGCGTGTTTGTACAAAAGCAGTCCTCTTCCTGCTGCTCTTTTCGAACGGCTGCCATTGGCTTTGAGTTGTTCTCGCCGAATACGATTAACTGCATCTTATTGACTACGTTCCGCCTGCCTGGCCTGAAAACATCGATTTCAGCAGTCGAAATAGTTGCGATGGGGCATATAGCTCTTTCCTGTAGCTGAGACGCTACTCGTGAGTTCTGCTATACGGCACATAGCCTTCTCCGAACTGAAATAGAATATTAATAACGCACTTGTACTAAAATCGTTGTCTATCGTGTGGAGCCAATTTCACGCAGTAGTTATTAGTAGGACTTGACAAGATTTTGCAATGTTTTATAATACGGAGTATACATATTTGGCGATCGAGATAATAATTAAGATGGTTGCAACGACATCTTCATGATGATTAAAGGTTTTCCGTCTATGAATTGTTGGTTCATTTTTCTCGATAGACCTTAGAGCGCTTGTCGATTCTGGCCGAATGTCTCTCGACTGAGGTAACCTGTAACATTCACATAGGAATTTCAACCTAGAACATTACGGCAAACGAATATTGATTTCGAGCTAGACTGCCTTCTACAAATACATGAGCGGTTTTTTTCATTCGGACAAATGCTATCTTGCAATATAAATGTGGTGCTTTTTTGCTCTTGTGCCCTCGACAACAAGTACGGTGCTTATCACCAAAGGTAAAAATCAAAATAGAATTCGACGGGGACCTCAGATGATCCATCGTTATTTTCTCCAATTACTTAGTTCTGTGGAGGTGATGATTCGTGCATCCTACAGCACACAATTTCAGGACGACAAAATGCGTTCGCTACTTATATTAAAATGATAAAATCAGATCCTCTTATAGAACAGCCTATTTGCCGCGGTGGCAGTGGGTATTATATTCTGTTGTTTTTCTGTTACAGTAAGTCAAGACATAAGCGCTCAAAGCGACAAACCTAACAAGCGGTTTTAATCCAGCCACAACGCTGCCACAAAGCACCACTCGAGATTTAAGTAATCTACCCAGATCCGTATTTATGATTACTTAGTACAAATTATGTTTATCTATCATGGAAAAAAAGTAGCAACCATAATAGTTATTGACAAGTGCTACGCAGGTCGACGGAAACATGTTGGTAGAGCTTGCAGTATGCGATGATGATGATATTTTGTTATTATTATTTTGTCAAGTCTTACGACATGACTGCCTAGCTCAGATCACCCTGAAGATCAATCATACACCATAAAAGAACATGACTTTATCGAAGATAATGAAATCGAATTATCTTCTCGTACCAAGCAACAAATACTTCGAAGTCATGAAAAAGATTAGCAATACATTTTAGATAACCAGTAAATAGTGTGATAATAGATAATAGATAGATAATAGTGTTCAGATTAGGAAAAATATGAAAAATGTCAGGAATTTACAAGAGTGATTTAGAATGCTTTGATAGATTAGACGAAAAAGCACCTCATTTGAATGAAGCAAAATCATCTGAATGAACTTATAGATACTGCCTCCATTCGTGGGCTACACTTTAGTGCAAGAAGGAAATCAAGTTCAATTTTGACGAAGGTATGGATATGACATCGTTCTTATCAATAAAATCTAACGACCGATACTGCAGTTCATAGAAACAGCGTCTAAATATATAGCTACAGCTCGCAGGCAAAATTCCAGTGGTCAACCATTCTTCCTGGACAAGTAAAATAGGAATTTAACCAGTGGGCCTAGCCCACTACTTTATGCTAGCACTAGCGCTACGGCGCTGGTGAGGCCGGTATGTTTAGGCAGTTTTGCATGTGCCGCTTATGCGGACCTGGACGTCCGCTACTAAGACGATTTTTTTTAAAAATCGTTGCTACAAGAAAGTACCTATCTATATGAAAAGGATGAAATTAATGACGTGAGACATCAGATCGTTGAACACTTAGCTTGCAGGGAAAACAAGTTTCCGATAAGAGAAAGAATGCTACCATATGCCAACAAACGTGCGTGGTCACGAGGTCGAGCGCACACACAACACGGCCTCTCTGGTGTAATATCTAAAACAGTCCAGAATCAGTGTTCTGAAAAAGGTTAGGTCGAGTGTTTAGTCAGTAAATTTACCTGTTTTTATTTTCTGGCCGACATACGCTTTAGCCTCTTAAATGCATGGCTTCTTCTACTCCTTATGGAGTGCACAACGCGCGATAATTTTCCGATCGACCTGTATTTTTTTTAGAAAAAAACTGGCTAGAAACAAACTCTGACGTTAGGTACACCAAAGTTTCAATTCATTTTGACTCTATTTATTTTTGTTTTTTCTTAAATTTGAAACCGTCTTATTTAGAATTCACGCTTGTGGCAATTGGACGTAAATTATTGAGTCAATCTAAACAGTTAGCAATTATTTACTTCCTTTTTGTGGTTGGATGTTATACTAAGAAGTTAACTCGTAATCTTTTACACTTCAATTCGCATGCATAAATACAGGATCTGTCAGAGCCTCATGGTAACGTATGAACCATCCTTTACTTAGTTACGTGTGCAGTGCTTGATTTAAAAAAAAAAAAAGCATGTAGGACAGACGCACACATTCGTAGGTTGCGTGGAGTGCCGAATAATTATAGACCCGCGGGTATATTTTCTAATTTCCGTTGTAATATTCAAATAAACTCAAGAGCCGAAACCTGTGAGGCTATTCAGGCCCAAAGGAACCAAAAAATATATGCGTTAGTATACATGACAAGGTGACTTTTATCAACACATGAACAAAATTTCGATTTATTACAACATTGACGCGGACATTAGTTCGTAAATTGCTCTTCACAGCCTGCCAAAAAATTGTCCATTGACATGTACTAGCGCATGTCTTTTCTGGCGATGCCACAATGTCCCTCTACTAGCTTTTTCTGTCGAATCTATTGAGAGAGGTAAGACTTGATGATTCCAATCATAAGACTCAGTGCGCTCGATGTTTCTAAACATGACAGCTCCGACACTGTTCCATATTTTTTTTTTGTTAAAAATAGCGTACAAAATTATTAGACGCTCCCACTTTTGGCCTATTAAAAGCCGAAGAATTTGGTCGGCGTCTTTTAATACTTACTAGGTGTTGTATACACACTCGCTTTAGAAATGCAATCTTAATTCATCGTGAAGAGAAGGGCAACGCGCTGTTACATATATAGATCTATAGTCGATTTCTTTGCAATAATCAGCTGCCAAGACCCTTGACAAACAACTTTCACAACTGCTTCCTCCTATAGATAAACCTATAGAGAAGACATGCATCGTTTTGTGCTGTCTTTGAAGATTCGTTCCCGTTGGTTTGCGGTCGTCGTTGACTCAACGAGATCTCCTCACACTCACATTTTACTATTTAATACCTAAGAGCCTTAAATGTCTTGATTAATGTCCTGGATAGTATAGACCAACACGAATAAGTAAGTTAAGTTGTCCTCCGCTCAGCTGCTAAAACTTTTTTTTTTCACAGAGCGTTTCCATCCGTACGCTGTAGATGAGATCAGAAATTGCCACTAAACTGGCAACAATGTCGCCGGGATCGCTTCGCCATGGTTCTGAGCAACGACTTAAAGGCGATAAACAATGGCAGTTAGTAGTAGGTTGCTCTTTGACTTAATAGTCCACGCACTAGGACTGAGTGCACGTACGAAACTATCTGCCTTTTTAATGCTATTACATCTTCCCTGGAGTCGAAGCTACACTGCAAGATAGTTCGTGTTTATTAGTGGACGTGATCGAACCTGCTGGGCATGTTCGGGTCATACATGTGCTGTGCACGTATAGTTAGAAGCTTAGTTTACTAATCGTTGCCGAGCGCATTATAATGCGGTGAAGCGGGTAGAACACGAAGCCCGGTGTTTGATATTGTTCTGCGACCGTCG